TCCTCTGAAGCCTGGTGCCCCAGTGCCTTCTGTGGCCATGGTAGAAATCTCACCTTCAGCGTGGAAGGGGCCAGGAGGTCCTCTGGTACAACCCTTGGTTCACACATGAGGAAACCAAGGCCCAAAGGGGGAAAGTGACTTAGAAACACAGCCACCACATCTCCCTGGAGAGGTGCGGGATGGCGAGGCTAGAGCCTGAGGCTTGGGGTATGGGGATCTGTGGGGAGGGGCTGCTCTTCAGCAGAACATGGCTCTGTCCAAGACCTGGCTCCAGAAGTGGGGCCCAGATTTTACTGACCACAACTCCACAGCCCCCTGGACTGGGCAGAGAGCTCTGCAGTTCAGATGGCCACGAAGGGCACCGACAGGATACAAATTCCCTAGAGGGCTTGGGGGAATTTCCAAACCACACCTGGGCCCGCTATTTCCTGGCCACGGCTACTTTCCTAGAGGGCTCCCCAAAGGGACCCACATGCTCCCTCCTTACTCTGCCCTAGGTTGTATCCCCCAGGACTGCTGGGGTAGGGTGAGAGGGTCGAAGGCAGAGGGAGGAGGGGAGAAGAGTTGGTGGGAGGACCGTCTTGCTGCACAACGCAGATCAGGGGCTGGGGACCGGGCCAACAGGGAGAACAGGAAGCTGGAGGGCAGGCCTTGTTCACTCATTCGCTTGCTTGTGCCTTTGGTTGTATGTTCCTTCCCTGCTGAGCATTTCCGAGGCACCCAGGACTGTGCAGGGTGCAGGGTGGCAAAGGTGGGCGAGAGCAGGGCAGTGCCCAGAGCATGGCTCCAGGAGCGCTGGCTCTTCACGCGGACCATGCAGCACCCTGCAGGGGTCCTGCTCAACTCCACACAGCCCTGAGACATGGTCTGTGCTTTTGAGGGGACAGCTCCCACTCCCAGGTAGCACAGAGGAGGCACCAGGCAATGGGGAAAAGCATGTGCCTTGCCTGTGACCTGAAGCATGAGCAGAGGTGCCCCAGGTGTAGCAGGCAAGGTGGGGGACAGGCAGGGAGTATCCCCAGGAGAGGAAACGAAAAACACACGAAGGCCCAGAGGTGAGGATGGCTGGAGATTCAGGACAGCAAATGGAATGGCTGGAACCCCCGTGGGGCTGGGCCTGTGGCAGGGCCGCTCGGAGAGGCCTCTGTCTTGCACACCGTGAGAGCCATCAGAGGCTGGCCCGTGGATCAGCATGGTCGGAGGTGCACTTTAGGAAGACGGCTCAGCTGCAGTGTGGAGGTGAGACTGGAAGAGGCACGGATCAAAGCCGGGGAAGCACAGGAGGTGTCCCCAGGGGCGCAGGCAAGAGGGAGGAGGGCCAGCCTCCTCAGGCAGGGGCAGTGGGGGAGGCAAGAGAGGGTGGGATTTGAGAACTGTTGAGAGGCAGCATCAGTGGGGCTTGGGGCTAAGCAGAGGTGAAGGAGGGAGAAGAGCCAAGAGCCAAGGAAAACGCTCCTGGGGGTCTGGCCTGGCTGACAGAGGAGGCCTGGCGGGTCGGTGGGCTGAGGAGATAAGATGGTCCAGCGCTTCTCCCAGGCCATGGAACACAGGCTGTGGCTGGTGGAATCACTGCGTCGGAATACCAAGTCTTAGATCTCAAAGAGACCTAAGGCAGAGTCAGGCCCTGGCCCCAGGCTGTATTCCCATCCCCCTTTATGTCACTAAGCGATCATTTCCCCTTCCTCATCCTTCCAGCAGCTTCTTCGCCAGGCACTGCACCAAGCACTGAGAATATAATGAGGAACAGGTCATGCACCTGCTTTTCAAGGAGGGGGGTCAAGCAAACAGGATGTGCTGACACAGGGCTGAAGGGCTGTGACCGAGACAGCTTGGTGCTGTGGGATCACGGAGAAGGGGCACCCAGTGCAGGCTTGGGAGGCAGGGCAAGCTGCCGGAGAGGAGGAAGAGGCACCTAAAGCAAGTCCTAAAGCAAGAGAAGGCCAGTGCAGGGGTGTGGAGGGGAGAAGAAACTTCAGAGATTGAGGCCGAGGGAAGAGTCCCAGGGATGGGAGGCAGCTGAGGCCAGAGAAGTCAAGCGACTTGCCCAAGGCCATACAGCTCACGGCAGAAGAGAGAAGAGTAGAGGTCAGTCTCGTGTAAATGAGTGCCATGTTTCCAAGAACCTTGCTCTAGCCTTCCCAAGCCTCACTTGTCCCCTTCCCCCAATCCCCAGCCTACGCTTGGTCTAAAGGGATACACAGGTCAGGGGACCCCAACTATTCTCCTAGGCTGAGAATACTTGGGAGAGGGCCCTGTTGCACCCCCTGCCAGTCCTCATCTCACCTCACTCAATACGGCCAACATGCAAAAGCCGCCTATTAGAATTATGCCCCCACAGAAAAAGTCCACAGTGCCGACCAGAATCCTACGTTACCCCCGATATCACACCCAGGCAAAACCAAATTAACCCATCTGCCTAAGCCAACACATATGCTTCCTCTGGTGTTACTGACCGGATACTCCTTAAGTGGAACTGTCATCTCTTTCAGGGGCAGGTAGGGTGCATGTTTTTTGTTGTTGTTGTTTGTTTCTTGGTACCTACTCCCTTGTTGCTTTACACAGGATAGTTATTTTAAAAAGATACTCACCCAGTGAGCTCTTACTATGTCCAGCACACTCTGCTGGATGCTGGGGAAGGCGCCAAAATGGATACAAAATGGTCTCTGGCCTCAAGAAGCAGAGGACCTCTCATCTGGCCAAGTGGCCCCCATATGTCACAGGTGGATAGTTACCCAGCCCTGCCTGGGCACTCGCAGAGACAAAGAACTCTCTACCTCACAGGCAGGGCATTCCACATTTTTAACAGTCTTAATTGTTAAGTTAAAATCTTCCCCACCTGCCAGGCGCGGTGGCTCACACCTGTAATAGCAGCACTTTGGGAGGCTGAGGCGGGCGAATCACGAGGTCAAGAGATCAAGATCATCCTGGCCAACATGGTGAAACCCCGTCTCTACTAAAAATACAACAATCAGCTGGGTGTGGTGGCGCATGCCTGTTGATCCCAGCTACTTGGGAGGCTGAGGCAGGAGAATCACTTGAACCAGGAAGGCAGAGGTTGCAATGAGCCGAGATCGTGCCACTGCACTCCAGCGTGGCGACAGAGCAAGACTGCGTCTCAAAAACAAACAAACAAAAAAACCCAAACGTCCCCTTCTATAGCTTTCATATATTAGTACCACGATTTTTGGCTGGAATGGTAGAAAATACATCGAATCATTTTTCACATGCAGCCCTTCCATATCTAAAACTTGTTTTCCTGTCTACAATCTCTCCATATAACCCCAGTCCATCCTCCTGCTCATCAGGAACCTCAGGGTCCTCGTTTCCTCCTGTAAATGCAGCCTCCAGAACCAAGCCCTGGATCTCGAGGGTCCCTGACCATCAGCAGTATGGGGCTGCCGCGGGTGCCTCCCTTCTGCGGGGCAGCGTGGGCCTCCCTGAAGGGTGTGAAACCTGCCCTCCCTGCTCCGCAGCCACTTCTCTGCTCCTGGTTCGCCTTGAGCTTACAGTCACAGGAAACCCTCAGCCTGTCTCTCAGGCTGGAACCTGCGCACGTCTGACGTTAGTGCTGGGGGTTTTTCAGTGAGGAGCAGAATTTTAGTGTTTTCCATATTTCGTCTGCTTTTTTTTTTTTTTTTTAAATTAAAACCATCCTTCTGCCCTGATGAGGTTTTTAACAAAGTCTGGGGTGCTATCACCAAGGTATTAGCTGTTCTCTTTCAGCTTTATGCCATCAGAAAGCCAGGTAAATGTAACTTGTTTGCCTCAATTTGGTGCCTTGTCTAATGGTCGACCTGGATAGTGCTTACACTCCAACTCCCCGGGAATTTTTCTGATTAACATTTTTTGGATAATTCAGTTGGGGAACAACCCCCCTTACTATATTGTCAGGAATCCACACATTTCTAGCATCTCCACTAGATATCTTGGGGGATTTTGGTCAAACGCTTTACTGATGTGCTGCCTACAGCTGTTCCTGAGCCAGAACATGAGCTTGGCATCAATGCCAAGAGAGGAAGGAGCTCAGTTTGGCTTGATTCAGTCTTAATGGCCTTCCTACCGGCTTCCTTTCTGAAGATACCTTGTCTATTTTGTTGAAAAATTGTTCTTTAGAACCTACATATTTTGAGGCAGAAGGAAACTTGGAGGCGATTCAAAATTAATTCCCATTTTTGCAGATGAGGAAACCAATGCCCAGAGGCTTAACTGGCACTCCCAAAGTCACAGAGTTCATTTAGGAGGAAGAGCAAGGATTGGATCCCAAGTTCAAAGCTCTTTAACGGTATCACATCATCACACCTTTCTCTAAGTGCTCACGGGCGCGCGTGTGCACACGCACACACACACACACACACACACACCCCTTCCATCAGGACTCTTGTCCACCAAGACAAAAAAGTGAGGAATTATCTTTTTTGGGGGTTCACTGGGGGCCCCACAACAGGCCACCTTCTCTTCCTGAATGGAAGATGGGGGCCCAGATCCCTCCATGCGATTCCTTCTCCAATAGGGGAGCTTTGGGCTCCCCTAGTCTGGATTGATCCTGAGAATCCTGTCTGCCTTGAGGAGACCACTGTCTCTGTGCCTCGTTTGAGCCTGTGGGTGCCTAGCATCGGCTCCCTTTGTGGGCATGGAAGCTGGACTATGGCCTCTAAGCAGCAGGTGGAGGTGGAGACTTCCCCAGAGAACAATGGGCCCCTTGCCTAGTGGTCTGTGGGACAATGGAGGCTTGCTGAGTACTGCGCGAGGAGCAGAGCCCCTGGACTTGCTGCCCAAGGGTCTTGCATTGTAAGGATATGAGCCTTGCCATAGAAGAAGGCAGAGGCCTGTGGCTGGTCGAGGGAAGGGCAAATTAGGTCGCTCAATGTGGGAGAACTAAGGCAAAAGAGGTGTGCCTGTAGCAGAGGGGGCCCAGCGGGGAGAAGCCTGGTACCCTGGACAGTGAGCAAAGGCAGGGCCCCTTCACCACCCTCCCCACCCCCCTAGGAGGCCCTGGGTACCTGTTTATTCTTTAGGTCAAGGGAGAGTTCGTAATCGGAGGCGGCAGGGGCGTGGGAGCACAGCGCCGTCGCCGGGGCAGGCTGCTGCCGGCCGGGGGAGGCCACGTGCTGGGGGCCAGCCCTCGGGGAGGCAGCCCCCGCCCCCGGCCGCTCCTCCTCCTCCTGCAGCTCCTGGGCTTGAGCCTTCGGGGCATGGGCACTGGGTCTGCCGGCTGCCACCGCCGCCGCTGCCACCACGGAGTCCTCCATGCCCCCACTGGCCTGGGCGCAGGAGCCGTCACTGCGAACAAAAGGCAACGGTGCTCGGTTGGGGGAGAGGGCGACAGGGTGCGTGTGGATGTGGGGTGGGGGGAGAGCAGCTGGGCACTCTGGCCTGGCTTTCTGGTGGCAGGGACTGGAGGGTGTGTCTTTCAGTCTTCTTTAGGGAGGGGCTATCATGGCAGGGCGAGCCCTGGGCAGGGAGAAGACCTGAAGCTGGGGAGCATCTCAGACGGAGGGAAGGGGCGGCTATGGCCAGGGCTCAAGAACCTTTGCTTAGAGGCAGTACAGTAGAGCAGCACATCTGGGCTCTGCCTCTTATTAGCTGTGTGACCCTGAGCAGGTCACTCAGCCTGATTGCACCTCTGTTTCCCCATCTATAAAATGGGCACAGTAACAGTACCTACCTGATAGGGATGCCGGAAGGCTTAAGTCACTTAAAACTCTTTGAGCTGCTCCTGACTCGTGGCAACTGCTACATGGATTGGATCCCAAGTTATCTATCTAATTATCAGTGGCCTGGCTCGTTAGGCACAGGCTCAGGTGGCTGGGGAAGCTGAGCCACACTGAGCCAGCTCATCTTTAGACTGAATGAGTCTGGGGGAGGGAGGGTGCCTGGCCTGGCTTGGGCATAAGCCCTTCCAGCGGGGTGGGCTTCCTGCCCTGCTGTGTTTAGAAAACACCTTCCTTCCCGGCCCCTCCTCTGCTCCCGTGGAGCCACAGCAGGCTGAGCCACGTCTGCAGCCCTCCCGCCCGCTCCAAGAAGACACCTCGCTGCCTGGAGCAGCCACGCTCCAGCCTGCCCTGTGGAATTGGTTCCCCCGGGTTGCACTAGCCTTCAAGTTCTGCCCCTCCCTTGAGGCCCAGTGCTGAGCCACCTCCTCCACGAGGCCTTTCTGGTGACTGCAGCTTTCACTGCTCTGTCTCCTAGAACACTAGGAACTGTCCTTAGAGTCACTGCCCACTTTGCAGAGGAGAGTCATCGTAGTTAACAGTGTGGGCTCAAATCCAAGCTCTACCACTGTGTGGCTTTGGGCAGCTGGCTTTTCCTCTGAGCCTTGGTTCCTTTGTCTGTATAATGGAGGTCCTAGTCCCTACCTCAGGGGGTTATAGTGAGGAAGAAAGGAGGCAGCAGGGATCAGGTGCTTAGCACAGAGTATGTGCTCAGTAAATAAGCTTTTTTTTTTTTTTTTTTTTTTTGAGATAGAGTTTCACTTTTGTTGCCCGGGCTGGAGTGCAATGATGTGATCTCAGCTCACTGCAACCTCCACCTCCCAGGTTCAAGCCATTCTCCTGCCTCAGCCTCCCTAGTTACTGGAATTACAGGCACCCACCACCACGCCTGGCTAGTTTTTTGTATTTTTAGCAGAGACAGGGTTTCACCATGTTGGCCAGGCTGGTCTTGAACTCCTGACCTCACGTGATCCACCGGCCTCAGTCCCCTAAAGTGCTAGGATTATAGGCGTGAGCCATCGCACCCGGCCCAGTAAATAAACTCTTATTTCCCCACCCATCCCTTCCTAGAAGCCAGGGCCTATGTGTTATTTGATTGTGTCCGCCACCCGCTTGATGCTGGGCAGATGCTGAGTGCTTAGTCAACACTTGTTGTTGATGGGTGAACTGAGGGGAACCCAGGAGCCACAGGGATAGCCTTTACAGAGAACAGTGACAGAAAGTCAGGACTGGAAGGGACCTCAAGGTCATCTAATGGTGGGATGACCCTGGTGCAGGACAGCTGCGACCTAAGGACTGATTTCTTCCAAGACTGTGCCACCGTGAAAGATGGGCCAGATCACACCAGAGGAGAGACTGCTTCCTGCAGCTTCCGCTGGACCTCAGGGTGCAGAGAGGGGTTCCTTCTGGTGCTTCCTCCCGGCCAAGAGGTGGGTGGAGAATCTCCCTTCTGTCAATCTCCACCTGTCCTCCCAGCACTCCCTTGCACCTCTGACAGATAAAGGAGCGCTCGCTGGCTGGCCCTGGCCGTGGGAAACCCTCACTGCTGCTGTCTTTTTCTATGTCCACCGTTTCTCCTACCGCTACCAATAAAGCTGCATGGCTCAATGTATCTCCGGATACCTTTTTAAAAAATATTATTTATTTATTTTTGAGACAGGGTCTTACCCTGTAACCCAGGCTGGAGTGCAGTGGCTCAATCACAGCTCACTGCAGCCTCAATCTCCTGGGCTCAAGCAATCTTCTCACCTCAGCCTACTGAGTAGCTGGGACTACAGGTCCGCACCACCATACCAGGCTAAATTGTTGATTGTTTTGTAGAGACAGGGTCCCACCATGTTGCCCAGTCTAGTCTTGAACTCCTGGGCTCAAATGGTTGTCCAGTCTCAGCCTCCCAAAGTGCCGGGATTGCAGGCCTGAGCCAGCGTGCACAGCCTCTAGACATCTTTATGTTTTCACTGTGTCACTGGGAAGTTCTTTTTAAGCACTAAATTCAACCCCTCTTGCTGTATTAGCTGACCTCTCTTCCCCTGGAGCATGTGGAAATAGCCCCTTCCCACCACAGCACAGCCTGTGTCCAGAGCCTGCAGGGCAGCGTGCCGTGTTACGCTTCTCTCCTCCAGACTGTCCTTGGCACCGATGCCCAGGATCTCTCTAGCCTAAAAGGTTTTCAAGGCTCTTTAGGGAACTGGTGGCTCCTCAAGGGTCCAGACACCTTTAATACCAGCCCTTTGCTTTCGTTGATTGCCAGAATATGCTTGGCAGGAGGTGCTGCGGAGCCAGTGTCCCTTGATGACAGCACTCGGCCAATGACAATGGGGTTGCTGCACAAATACTCCAGCTTCCCTGTCCCTTGCACGGGACAGCTCTGAGGCACATCCTATACCCTCTCCCTAAATCCCCAGTGGGATCGAGCCCCAGTAGCCCAAAGCAGTAACTTGCTCATGAATGAACCCTGCCATGGCTTCATTCTCTTCTGTGTTTCACTTCCCCACTCCACTTCAGCTCCTTCCTGGGGTCACCTTGTCCGAAATAAACTACTTGTACTAAAACAAAATTTTAAAAATAGCTTGTTGTGGGCCTTTGTTCACGGGCCATCCCTCACACATACACACACGTGCACGCGCTCTCTCTGTCTCTCTCTCTCTCTCTCACTCTCTCTCTCTCTCTCACATACACTCAGGTACACACACACTCATGCACACACAATGCTTCTGTGGCTTTGGGCAATTTATGTCCTCTTCCTGGGCCAGTTTCCTCATCTGTCCCATGGAGGGAGCTTGATCTTCTCTAGGGACCCTTCCTGCTTAGACACTCCAGGAGCTTGGGTCCCAGTGCAGAGGCTGGTCCGCCAAGGCTCACGGGCCCAGACTCCAGACTCTCTAGCCGGTGGACCCAGCTCCACCTTGTCCATCTCTGTGCTCGGGGACCTGAGGGACTGGGGCCCTCCCAGGTACATGATGAAAAAGCGTTGGAAAGGAAACCCCTACCCTTGCCTTCCTCCCTTAGATTTGCCTATAAGACCGTGGGGTGGAAGGTGGCCACAAAACCCCTGGACTGTTCTCAGTGCAGCAACGTTGAAGGTCACATAGCGGAGGCCAAAGAACATCCATGGCTTTGGTGTCAGGGAGACCGGGGTTAGAATCCTGGCTTTGCTACTGACTATGCCACTTGGGCAAGTCATCAATAGAGCCACAATAGTCATCAATAGAGCCACAATAGAGCCATCAATAGGCATCAATAGAGCCACAATTTTTGTGGCTCTATTTCCTCATCTGCAAAACGGACATCCTAACAACAGCTTCGCAGGGTGACTGTCAGAACAGAAATAAAGCATGCACAGCACCTAGGACAGCGGCTGGCACACAGCTGTCTCTAATACAGGGTGACAGTGATGGTGGCCATTTTCTGAGCTAGAATCCCATGGCATGGAGTCCCAAAGAAATCCCCAGGAAAATGTCATGAAGAATTCTGCCGCGGGGGAGGCGTTCTCAACATTTAGCCCCCTTGTCAACCTTCACGGAACTGAAACAGCAGGGTTTCCCCACCGTTCCCTGTGGCCTTCCCTAGCCTTCCAGATGGACGGGCTTTCTGGAGGCCTCCTCCCACCCTGTTTCAGCCACTGGAGCAGCAAACAGCGAAGGGGACTTGGTCTTGGCTGTCACCAACACAGGGGACCCATGTTCCCTGGGGAATCTGTGTGCAGTCACCACCTACAGGCAGGGCCCTTGGCTGTACCCAACATGATGGGGGATTCCTGGGTGGGCATTTGTCCAGTGCCCGTCATGTGGATTTGGGCTTTGGTGCTTTGCCAGGGCACAGCAGAGGCCCAAGTCCTTACACGCTCTCTGGTGGCTGAGCATCAACGGCATGTCCTCAGCCTCTGTTTTCCTCTTTGCACTCCATCTATGAAAAAGGTCTGAGGAAGAGGTTGGAATTTTCATCTTAAGCTGTCATAGCTGGAAGGACCATCTGTTTATTGAAGGGCATCTACTTCCAGTCTCTTACAGAACTGGAAACCCATTGCTCTAGCTCCCAGAACATCTTTCCTCTCCTTCCAAGACACAGGCGACGTCTCTTCAGCTTCCACAGTTTGCAGCTGCTATCCCTAGTGGGTCAGATTTCAGGCAGCCTGGCCCTTGCACTGGAAGGAAGTATGTGTATGGGATTCTCTCTGGGACCTGAACAGCTTCTTATAATGCCCTCCCAGAGCACTGGAGGGGGATCCTGGAGATCTCCGCTCTCTTAGGCTCCTCATCCTGCCGCAGAAACATTCCTTGAGTGGCAGTGCACTAGCCAGGAGAAAAAGTGGGGCCACTACTGGTATACGAGTGACGCTGGTCACAGGGTTACTCCCTGGGTTGGGACACCCAGTTGAGAAGCTAAAAGTAGAATGTGAGTGGCACCAAGATGAAGGGGTCCTGAGAAAGCTTTGATACGTTCACATGACATTAGGCTGATACGCACAAGGCCAGTGCCTCAGGAGTCACTCCACGCATGAGAGCAGGATTTGAGTATGGGAAGTGAACATCTTTGAGAAATTAGGGAAATAAGCCATCGCTCATTCTC